GCAACTGAGCACCATGAGTGAAGGAAGCGTGACAACAGAGGACGGTACACTTTTGCCCGATCTAAATATCACTCTGTCTCTGTCCCGCGAACAATTTGAAACTCTCAACAAAGACTTGTTTGAGAAAAGTTTTGATGTGGTAAGAGATGTGTTGAAAAAGGCCGACTTGACTCCGTCTCGAGTGGATGAAATTTTGCTTGTCGGTGGTTCTACACGCATCCCCCGCGTGCGTGCACTGGTGCAGAATTTCTTCCCAGGAAAACCGGTTAATTTATCGTTGAATCCTGGTGAAGCTGTTGCCTGTGGTGCAGCTATCGTGGCAGCAAATTTGGCCAAAGTAGACTCATTGGAACTGCTCGATGTGATGTTGTATGAAATCACCGTATTGGATTTCAGTATTGGACAGTTTGGGGGAATTGTTGACGTATTTATTCCCCGAAATACTCCCCTTCCCGCTGGCGTGAGTAAGACATTTGGTACGGCATATGATAACCAGACAGAAGTAATCATAACTGTGTTTGAAGGGAATCGGGTGATGCAAAAAGATAATCGGCTTTTGACCACAATCACTCTATCTGGACTGAAACCAGCCCCGTGGGGAGAGGTCAAGTTTAAGGTTACATTCAAACTGGATGAGAACAAATGTCTGTACGTGTGTGTCGCAGAACTGCCTGAAGGTGTTCGGGAAGAGATTATCATTAGCCGAAATGAAGAGCGCACCTCCAAAGAATATTTTTCCCGAATGCTAGCGGATGCAGAAAAGAATAAGGCAGTGGACGAAGCGCATATAAGACGGCGTAATCGTTGGTATGGCGCTTATAGATATGCGGTAAAGACCACATTCAAAGTACAAATGGCGTACAAAGAAAAGACGATCGACCAGGCCACATATCACTTGATGCTGACCAAGTGTGACCAAACTGTGGCCTGGTTTATGGAAAACGAGACCGCTCAACCGGATGAATTTGAACCAAAAATACAATCCCTGATGAAAACTTGCCGTTCAGTACTATAAAAGCTGTACAATTTGTTTCAAAGTAAAACTCTGTTTGACACTTGATTGAAAACTCAAAATACAAACCATAATTTGTACTTTTGAGGAACTTTTCGTTGCTCAGAAATGTGGGACAGTGTACAGGCAACACGCGCAAGTAATATTTCGTAATATAGTGCAAGTGGAATTGAGGATCTTGGGGTTAAAACAAATTATCTACAATAACTATTCACATTTCATCGGAGTCAAAGTAGGACGGTGTGGACTGCTGAAGGAATTCTAACACACAACATCGATCTGATGTATCGGTGTCTGAAATAATCCGGTTCTCACTGACTCTGATACCATTTCGTCGGGTCGGTTTAGACGAGGAAGATTCAACAGGATGAATAACCAAGCAAGACCTGGATAGTAGACAAAACAACCGGGTAACAGTCACAAAATAAGCCTTTCGTCGTAATCAGAACACATATCCTAGACCAAGATACGTTTTCGGTGAGTTCATTCTCAAGCCATTACAATCACATTTATTTTAGAAAATAACGGGCGGGTGAGGTGCTGGGATCAAACAGACGAGTTCAAATAATGATAGCAAAGGAGTGGGATAGGGAAACGAATGGTTCTATTTCTCTTATTCGGCTAAGAACGGGTTACGTAAGCGTTGGTAATCGACGTAGGTCGTCACAACACTCATGCGTGATGTTGTCCACCTTGTACCAGGTAAGTTTGTGTGCTTGAATAAATGTTTTTGTGCGGAGGATTTTGGCTTCAACAAGCGGATGATAATTGCCTTAGCTAATGTTTTCATTTGAACAGCCTATGATATTGTGTTGTGGGACGTGGTAAATGATGGCGAAAGCTGATTTAGTATCCATCCCATGTCCAGTCTCGACCAAGTGTGCGACAATTGAACTGGAGATGACCCCATTTCGTCCCTGGCTAAACCACCTGGGTTGATGTTCCTTGATGCGTTTAGATAGCTAACCTATCGTACGATCTACGTAAGTGCCACCGCGGGTGCGTTGGTAAATGAGCATTGACGAGGTCAACTTAGGCAACTTATCCTTGTTCTGACATCGGATGACGGATGATTTCAAGAAAATGCCCAAGGGTGAATCAGAAGGATGAGTCACCAGCTACCAATGGTTTATCGCATAGGCAAACCCAGTGACTGCATGTACTCGAAACGAGTGTGTCGTTTCAAACCAATAGTATGCAAACGAATAGGACTGGCCGATTGAGATCGACAGAGCAGAAACATGAACAAGTGCTAACAGATGGAAGCCTCGCGTATTCGGTTGCCAGTAAAATAACAGATGTATCAGGGGCGTACAGTTTAACAGTATCCAATCCCTTCACCGTTCCCTACGTTTTGCGTGGGACCATGTAGATCAATGGGAATCAAATTGTCACACGATATAACTTCACACGCTACGCAGGAACCCCAAAAAATGTAATGACGTAATTTTCCCCCTTTTTAAGGGTCAAAAGTGTGATCGATTGCCAAATTGCAGTCCACCTTTATATATCTTCAATGATCACTTGAATCGATAACCGTCTTTCAAAACCTTCGATCCCATTATCAGCCTTAACCTCACCTGGTCTGACCACATGAATAACGTTTTGCTGAAGGGCAGCAGGCTTGCGTTTTATATTTTACTTCTTAAATCACTTGCTATTCATCTCATAAGTCCTCTTGGTTTTGCTAACGCCCACTGACTTCATGGGCCCCCGGTCTGTTTAGAAAGGACCACTAACTCGTTTTCAGATCCACCAAGCTTCTGGCGGCAGGTACTCATAAACCATGGAATTTTCTTGTAGAGGTGGTGGTACACCACTTCAATGCCTGCAAAACATTCGCCAAGAAGATTTTATTTGAATATGCCCATTCCCTATATCTTGCTCTTGATCATCCACCCGTTCGAGTTAAAAACTTACAAAGGCATAAATTGAACGCTCTATTGTCACCTATTTCACCAGATTTCTCAAAAATGTGAACTCCTTATTGAAAATTTGCGTAAAATGTTCATCTAAACCGATGATAAGTATCGTGGTATGCCACTGCCCTCGTGTTGTTATCGGTTTTAGTTCGAAATTGCTGTATAATATTTTCCGTTGTTTGACAATAGGTGGTTGTTCTGGCTCAATATCTACCCGTCGAGTGGATAAAGCGATTCCTTGACTTGACTTGAACGTAAGACTAGTCATTCCATGAGAAGTTGGAGCGACAAAACTGCTTCTTTCAGTGATTCATTAACTTTTCACATGCCAGAAATTGGAAACGCAGAATGATGGAGTGGGATAGCACAAACATGAATTCACGGCCATGTTTTCAAAGATTCAATGCCTTTCAGTTGATGATGGATGTCCGCACCTACTTGATTATTCTTGAGATGTCAAGTCGGATCGCAATCGTCTCCACGCGGGATGGTAGGCAACCTCGGACACTTGATCGAGTTTAACTGAAATGATAATATTTTGCACCCCTCAAGAGGAGGAGACTTCAGTTGCTCTTAAAACATCAAGCAACTGAGCTCACGATGATTACCCCTTTCATTATTTCTGTCTACGGACCGCGCGCCGACTGGGAATTGCGGATAATATCCTCAAGAACGAGTGCATTCGAATGTGACGGGGGCTCACCTCTACTGAGGATATCATAAGACAAAACTACCAGTGCAGACAAAAGTCAACCCACTCCAACAGAACAAATCACGCACAAATATTGTCTCAATGCCGAGAATCGTGAGCACAGAACAGAACCGCATTTATAAATGTCATTGAAGTAACCAAATAAAGCGTATGCATTTCTGGGACTACTCCTTAAACGCGTTAAGCAATATATAGTTACAAGGAATTCCCTGATCGTGTATACACTGCGTTACGACATAAAACAGAACGAAAATAAATACAATTGAGAGAGATCCTATACCTTCATTCACGCGAGATCAATCAGCACAGAAATTCGTAATCATTCAAACGAAACTATCGGTCTCTTAAACTGATTTCCAACCACCATTCCTCGATAAATTAGCCAGCCAACAGAACGCTAAATTCGAACACATGCGTTGACGTGCGAAAAGCA